TAGATGTAAAACATGTCAGGAAAAAAGCTATCCTAGAATAAATTTTACTCCCCTTCTCTCCCTCCTTGTCCTCTGAGAATAGAGAATTAAATAAGAGACTTTATAAAGTCTAAGGAGGATTTGGCTGTTGATTTTATAGGGAAGGTCTTAGCTACTCTGGAGGTAGGTGGAAAATACACAAAACCCAGATGTGGATATAGGCTTGGGAATAACTGCCTCCTATTGAAATACAGCAATGCTGTTACTTTATTGAATGAAACTAATTTATCAGTAAATAGTTCAATGCAACAGGCTTCACTGGGAAAAAAGTGGATAAGAAATTAATTGAGGCATTTGAAGATTTACATTAAAGTCACTGACAGTCATCTTTCAACTGCCATTTATCACTTATAAATAAGGACTTGTGGAAATATTGTTTGTTATGATGTATCATTTACCAAATATCTTCAGAAGCACATTCTGGAAATATGCATGTCCTGGATTTGAGCTGGGAAATGTGTACTCTGAAATAGCATACAGGTAACCATTCAATTGGCTTCTAAATAATTTTCTTTTATCTCCTGGAGTACTGTACAAGATAATGTGTTTGGAATTTTGAATCATTTTCATAGTGATGCTGTTGCAATTTACAAAATATTTGATGAACTTTGTGCAAATATTCCAAAGCACTTTCAGAGAGATAAAGAAATTTAAATCTGGAGAAGCCCTAGGTTGTCTAAGTCCAGCTTGCATTATAGCTCTGACAAAGTATATTTTTAAGTAATATCAAGCACAAAGACTTGTGGTGTAAATGATAGGGGTTGCTTTCATTTTTTACCTTAAAATTAATTATTAATTAAGAATATGAGAACTATCATACAGAACCAGCATTCAGCACATTGTGGTTTATCTTATTCTATATATAATTCTGATACAAAATCATATAGAAGTTTTTCTCAATCTTTACCCATTCTGAACTGACCCTATAGCATGACCCTATGATGCTGCTGTTGCCACACCTGCAATGTTGATGTTTTTGAAAGCCTCCACCATTGCAGCTTTGGGTTTTTTCATTACTTCTATATAATTCTGTAAATATACATTCCCTTTTTGAAATCTCTTCAGCTCTCAGCCTAGTGATATCCTGCATCAGTGAGTTCTATGACAGAGTCTTGAAATGTGAAGAGTGAAATCTGGGGTGCATTGTGTTCAGTAGCAGTTTGTATTGAGATAACTGTCCCTTTATAGAAGGCAAACACCATCCTTTGCTGTTTCATTAAGTCAGCATTGCTGGGCAATTGTCAGACAAATATAAAGATGCTATTAATTGTGAAAATGACACTTCTGTGAAGAAATTATAAGGCTTGTAGTTGTGTTGGGAGGTGGGGAGCTCCATTTTGCAAACTGATAGACTAAAAGCTTTGTATCTTCCTTGCCTGTTCTCTTTCATGTCTAAATGGCCATATGAGGTGAGGAATTCATTATATAAGTGCATTTTACAGAGTGTGCTAAAACTGACTAAATCATTGAAATGTGAGGATTCACAGTTGTGCGATGGAAGAAGTAAGAGGAAAATAAGAGGTCACTGAGATGTGGCTTTTGTAGAATAAAGGTCACAGAGGATGAGAGCATGTAAGGAGGTATTCATGTGCATGAGTGGAAACAGAAATGCAGGTAAGAGGCAAGTTGTATTGAGAGTGGAAGATCGGACAGAAGAAGGGTTGTTATGCGATATACATAATGGAAAGAATTTTAGTGATGGCTTTTGTCAAAGGAATGAGTACCATGTAGCTGAACAGTGGTCCAGGGAAGAGTTTATCAGTGTTGGGAGATGGATTTTGAAAAAACGAGATGAAATAAAGAGGAAAATGTAGGTACCATAACACAATCCGCAAGAGGTATAGGCTATTTCCATGTCTTTGACGAGTACGTGTTACACTGAGTCTTTTATCGGAATTTGTTCACCTTTGCTACTGAAGTAACTTTTGGCCCAGCATTTCCTTCTGCTTCCATTCTTTGATTGTACAATGAAAACTCAACCTAGTCAGGCTAATGCAGTCAACTCAAATTTGTGATCTTATAGGCAATTCATATTTAAAAGAGAAACGCTGTAAATCGGAGTTCAGTGTGACTGTCTTTTCTTACTAGAGAATACAGAAAGGTATGCAATTTCTCAAGGACAAGAAGGATCAGATCAATACGTATTATCTCTCACTTAATCTTTCCAAATGTATTTTAGATTCAGAACTCTACCAGATCTCTCATCTTTCCTGTGGTTAAATCTCTGTCTGTCTTTATTTCTGAGCTTTTTGGTACCTGAGCTTTTGTTTATGGGTACACTCTGAGACTCATCCTGAAATGATACTCATCCTCCTGCCAGGCTTCAAAAGGTTTGGATCAGAGCTGTACTATTATCCAAAATAATAATAATAATAATAATAATAATAGTAATGAAATTTTATGTAATATAATGCACTTAATATAATATACACCTCCAAATGTGTACTAGATGGAAGTGTGGTTCAAAGAGTGTATCAGCTTCCAAGCTGTATCCCTTAATTTCTCCATTTGCAGGCTTTTTTAAAACGACTTTGCAAATATATTACTTTTTTTGAGTCTGCTTTGTAGTGAGAAAATTAAAGAGTAATCCGTTCTTTCCTAAACCTCCCCAAATCTCAACTTCTACATATTTACATGCCTTGGAGTTTCTGTAAGTGTGCTTTCTAGGCTTGATGTTACCATATAACTTCTACTTGATAGTTTGCTGGAATGGAGAATCGTACTTTTTACAAGTTTTTTGTAATAGAGCTTTGCACCTGAATAATCTGTGTTCATTCTTCAGGATATACTTCTGTATATCTTTCTTGAAATATCACCAGGATGAAGGAACTGACAGAATAACTCCATTTGAACAGCATTTTTTCCCCATCTTTCTGCAGAAATTAAAGCAAATTTCACCCATAGGTGACAGCAAACTCTTGGGAGCTGAAAATGCAGTCAGCACAATGTATGCAATTAAGTATACAATGGTGATGGGAGAAATGCTTACGTGAAAATATGCAAAAAAATCTAAAGCCAGTCAAATCTCAGAGAAAACATGGTATCTTTCTGAGAATTGCGAAAGAGAGAACATGTATGGTGATTAGATAAGGAGAAAGCCTCCAGTCTAAGAACGGCTCAGGATTCCCCAGTAGCTTACCCTTTAACATACTTTGCCTTGGTAAGAAGCTGATCCCCCTCCCTAACCAAGACCTCTGCTTCATGTTTTTCATTGGAAAGAACTGTAAGGTATAATTGCAGCAACCCGTTGTCAGCCTCAAGAACTATCAAATGCTCCCCCCTTTGCAGAATCAGAAGGGGCATATGTATGTTTTCATATGAATCCTCTGAAACTGGAAATCAACGATAAAACAGTGACTTATCACATCCATTTCTATGGGAGCTGGTGGGAGCTGTAAGGTGTGCTATGTACTTCTAGGTCATTAAGACATAAAATCCTTGGTCTGATCTCCTGCTTTGTCACTGTGAATAGGTTATTCTCCAGTGCATTTTGAAGACAAACATAGGAGGATTAGACAGATTATTTTTTTTTTTTTTACTCTTAAATCAATGGTTTGTATATTTATTTTTCTAGTAATTTGGTAAATTGCTTTGTTGTTTACCATTACTGTAAAAAATCTATGTTCAAAGAGAAAAACCAAAGTCAAATCTTTTCTATTTTCTTTTCCTTTACAGGCAGGCTGGAGGGCCTTGGGAGGTCCACATCCTACTGTTTCTTATCAGCAAAATATTTCTTATGAAATTATCAGCAAATGCATTATTTCTAGACTGCCTTATTTCTTTCTGAGAAATAATTCTTACTTGTGTCTGAGTAATATTTAAACATATTAATAGTAAATGCTGTTAATTAGGTACAGTCTTTTGTAGTGTGATTTTCATTAATTGGATTCTTACTTTAACTGAGTTATTTTATACAATCTGTGATCTTCCAGTCATAGTCGATTAAATAACTGTAAATGAGCACTTGGAGGAAAAAGCACATTTTCAGGGCATGCTTGGTTTTGTACTTTCTCCTTTAGAATTTCAAGTGCAATTTATTCATTAGATACATAGATGTGGACAAATGTCCATATAATGTAGTAACTGCTGCAGTATTAAATGAATGTCTGTGTTGTGGTCAGGTGTTTGAATACTGTTTTCAGATGCATTTCTTGTATGCTAGAGAAACATTAGAGATAGAAAAGAAGCACTGTTCAAGGCTGGGTTAGTCTATACACTGGTGAAAGCAGCTTTTGAGGAGCTGAGGAGGCTGCGGCAAAGGTGTCCAGTAGATTTTATGCTTGAAGCCAAACCACTTTGTATAGAAAATGCTGATGTAAAGAAACAGTTCATGAAGGAAGAAAACTCTGTGTGAGTGAGACATAAAGCAGATGTACAGGCTTGAAAGATCTATTTATGCTCAGAACTGGACTTGCAAACTCACAGTCTAGTATGTTTCTGTATGTGTAGGATGCATCTGCTCCAGGTCTGAGCTATCTGCTTGGGAATTACTTTATAGACATTGGAGACGAACAAGCATCTATAAGGAATGAGGTAGATCACTTTCTGTCTTCTTTCCATGGGCTGTGAAGAGGAGCCAATAGGACTAGGCTTTTTGATCCTTAAGTTAGGGAAGATGAATTGCTTTCCTTCTTGGGTCACTCATTGTCAAATCTAAGAAAGTGATTCTGAAGTCCCTTCTCTGCCCTGAGATCAGAACTGAGACTTCCTAGCAGGGTTTTGCACAGGCATGGCTTTTTTTTTTTTAATAACTTCCTACAGCAAGGCAAAATAATCAGCCATTCTCTGGTCAGGTCTTTTTGAATGGGAATGAGGTGGAATAAGGAAAAAAAAACCAAACAAACCAAGAAAATAAATAACTATGTGATTTTGATTTTTATTTTTGTTATTTTCCCTCCTTATTTGTAATAGTAAGGAGATGTTTATAGGAGTCTCTGGTCAATTCTTACCCTTTGTTGCAGATTGTCCACAGGACCCTTGCAGCGATGCTGGGCTCTTTGGCAGCTTTAGCTGCATTAGCTACTGTTGGGGAGGTAAGTTATCAAACTGTAAATACTCATTTTGTTTCTGCGTATGCTATCATAAATTTCCGTGTTTAGCCATGTTATGATTGGGCACATGACAGAGCAGTGTTTTTCAAGAGAAAGATGGTAGGTCAGATATTGGGATGGGTAAGCATCTTGAGGGAAACAAGTCAGCCTAGGGTATAGACAAGAGTAGAAAAATGTCAGTTGATGGTATTTTGTTCCGATTTGCGGGGAGCTGAGTACAACTATTTTCATCTTAATGCAGAGTTACTGTAACACTATTATTTTTAGTAATGTTAGGTTACCAAGCAAACCTAAATGGAAATACATTGCCTAATACTACCTTGAATAATTACACCTCATGCTTACACCTTCTAATCCTTCCTCTCTCCCTCTTCCCCCTGCCCCGGCCTCTGCTTATTCTTCATTGATATTTAATGAAATCTTTGATTGATTTTCTTTGTTTTTTCTCATAACTGGTCACCAAATCATTGCTATATTTCCATAATTTCCTTCCAGTTTGTTCACAGGTGAAGTGATATGGTTTTGTTCCCCTACCGAAAAGGAAACTAGGGTGTACTATATAATTCAGTCATCTTTTATTTCTGCAATGTTATGCAAGGAACAACTAGATAAAGCAATAGCCTAATGTAGGCTTTTGATAATGACCCACTTAGAATGCCAACGGTACTTTGAATTAGTAATAATAATAATAGTAATGGTAATAATAAAGAGTCCTTTTTGTGTACCTTGTAGGAATACATTTATTTCCATCTGAGCTTATTTAAATGGTTCATTAATTAAGTGAAGTTTATATTTCATAGCTAATATAGGTATTTTGTGGCATTCACTGGTGATTGTATTTTTTGATTGCAGAGACCTAGTATCGTCAAAGTGGTGGAGTGGATTGACTATGAGACACTGGCACTGCTGTTTGGAATGGTAACTAAAACATATCTTTTGCTCTGAATGTGTTGAATTAATCACATTCAACATAGAGATGTTTCCCTTTTAAACATTTTGTTAATGGTACTTTGCTGAGACATGGTATGATGAAAGTCTGGGCCTTGAGGGTTTTATCAAAAAGGAGGATGATCAGATCTCTGAAGGAGCTTTTTGAAAATCTTGATCCCTTTCTATTTCTTTCAAAATCTGTAAAAATGAGTTTAACATGCTGAAAACATCCTTGAGGTCTATAAATGGAAAGACCTGCTTAAATGCCAAGTATTATCACTCTTATTTATCTGTTTAATTTTGTTTAATCAAAACCTTCCCCAAGCACAGTCTGCTGGAAAAAGTGTTTTTCTTTGTCTTAGTGCTATGTTTGGAGCCAAAAAAAAGCAAACCAGAAATGGAGGAAAAATACCTGATCAGATTATAATCATATATTATTTTAAACACTTTGCTCAGAGCTATTTATGGTAAAAAGATTTGTCAAAGTGCTATTAAACTCTAACACAAAATATACAATATACTGAGACAAAATTACAATTTTCTGTTGCCATTCTGAAGTTTATTTATTTCCAGACACTGCTCCCTGTTTCCTGCCTTCCCCAGGGAAAAAGAAAAAAAAAAAAAATATCTGTTTGGAAAAAAGATGGAAGGACAGGGAACTTCTCAGAAATGTGGGAAAATGCTAGTAGTTCTTGTAGCTGCTATCTTCCCCACTCTGTATAGTGTTACTGCAGAAAGCAAAGACACTTACTGACTTTTCTTGGTTAATGACATAAGGAGGATACATTGAGTACTTAATGTATGATGCCCACTTAATCATTACAACTAAATTCAACCAGACTAGTATGACATTTACAGACTGCTTATGTTGGGAACTAAATTTCATCATTGACAAGATATATCTGGCAGCTGTACTGGATATCCTAATATGAAGGTAATCAGCTTCTCAAAAGTGTGTCAGATAAGAAGAACTCACAAGCTGCATTGCTTTGTTTTTGTGTAATAATTCGGTTGCAAGTTTTTTCTCTTTTTCCTCGTTTTTTGGTAGATGGTTTTGGTGGCCATATTTTCAGAGACTGGTTTCTTTGACTACTGTGCAGTAAAGGTAGGCTTGTTTTTATACTCTTAAATTACTACTGGATTAATCAAGTTAATATTTAATCAGCTGTGTTACACCAAGCACTGTCTTTGAAGAACCTTTCTTTCACAGTGTCTACTTATCATATTAGAAATCGCAGTGGTCAACTTGTAATTTTAAGAAATCTCTTGGGGATGAAAGGAAGCCTTGAAGGCAATTCCGTTTCTACAAGAGAAAGGTAAAGGCCCTCCTAGGCTAAACAAGCATATGGACAATATAAAGCTGAATTATTCCCCAGGACTACCCCAGGGTTGCAGTTCTACTGCAACTGCAGTCTGTATGCCTTACAGGGGGAAAGGAAATATGGGAGCTATCATTAGCTTTATGATCACGCATGAAAAATGGCCAGAGGCCTTTGAACAGTAGCAGAACCAGAGATTACGTTAAAAGGGCAATTCTGATGTATTGGTTGTCAAGCAAGTATTACCCATGGTGAGGGACCACTTCACCTACTGCAAAGCTCAATTTTCTTGAGAAAGGTGGAAAGAAAGAAAACAAAGGTCACAAGGAGGACTGCTTCGAGCACAGAATTCCTAAACAAAATATAGGTGGACACAACCCTTGCCAACCTAGATGCCCAGACTGTGTAGCCCTGGCCATCCTGCTCTGAGGATGGAGAAGGTGTCCCAGTGTGTGGAGGAGGTGGGAGGTCTCGACCACGTTAGTCCACCTGGGGATGCAGGCAGAAGATGGGGGCTGAGCCTTGCTCCTGCCACAGCACTCTTCATGCCTGGCATGGCGTCTCTTCAGACTTGTTTCTTCCTCGGCATGATGAAAATATTTGCTTCCAATTACTTCCATGAAATGTTTTCTTGCTAAATTGATTAATGTCGGAGAGGGTGGTGTTGGAGGTGCATGGGGTAGTAAATGTTCCTTGCTCACTGTTGCCTCATCTTTGGTGAAGTTATTTTATCTATAAATTTTAAAAAAACCCTAAGCTGGAATGATCTAATCCTTTTGATTTTGTTTCTGTTTTGTTTTGTTTTAGTTTTTTTTGGGTTGATTGTTTTTTTGTTTGGTTGGTTTTTTTAGGCTTACCGATTCTCTAGAGGCAAGGTGTGGGCCATGATTACATTTCTGTGCCTCATTGCTGCAATTCTTTCTGCGTTTTTGGACAACGTTACCACTATGCTCCTCTTTACTCCAGTAACCATAAGGTAGCTTATTGTTATGGTTTTGGACTTGGTCTTTTATAGCCAGCAAGTAGTAGTAGACATGTGCAAATGCTTGTTTGGACTTTTTTTTGACCATCTAAATGGAAATTAAAACCTCAAATACTCCTATTGTAGTAGGGTGAAGAGCTAACATTTTCAAAGGGATGGGTTGCCTTTCCTCTTCCAGCTAATATCATACCAAATGCTCCCCACTAGATGAACTTTTTTTTCCCCCTGTAAGCAAGGAGAATTTTTTTAATTAAAACTGGCTTGTCCTCTGCTGGCTAATATCTATAAACAATTTAAATAGTAATTTATGTTTTAGTGAAGTAATTATCCCTTCTAATATCGGGCACAAATAAATTTAAAAAATCTCCAGATTTCAACCAACAGCTTTGTTTTGAAATATGAAACAGAATTTTCTTCCTGCTGGTGGTCATGATACTGGTACAGCACTGGTTAATTCCACAACTCGAGATTTGATATTTGGAACTTTTAACAGAGAACAGGGAATTTAATTACTTCAGATTTCTGTAAATTAATATCATATTATTTGCAACTAGATTTAATCAATATGTCATTATAAATTACTGTTTAACCTGAATTTAACCTGTGTCTGGCCAGGCAAATATGGTTAATCCAGTTCAGTTTTGGAATCACCTATTGTGTTTTCAAAATTATCCTGAGTGATGTAATGCTTGCAGTCATTATCACATTAAAGTACACAAAATTCTATTAAGATATGCTCCTACTTTAAAATGTAGCATAAAGCAGTAAAAACCAATTTTGCAAGTGGAATTTATTTTAGATTGGGAAACAGCTGGTGAATGAAAGCCCCATTTGTCTTCTGTCTGATTATATTTTAAAGAGATCACTTTGCCTTACTGCAGTTAATAATTTCACCTCTAGCAGTAAAGCAACACTGGAACTATTAAACACCAAGTTTTCTTTAGCTGTGTTGCAGAATATTTTGAATTAACTATAATTTGGAATAGATTGAAAGCCAGACGTCAATGCACCATGAAAGAATTCTGTTCACAGGCATTGCTACTGTAACATTTATTCCATTTTCAAAGAATCACAGAATAGCCCAGGTTGGAAGGGACCTCGAAAGACCATCTGGTCCAACCTTTCACAGGAAAGGAAGCCTCGCTGAGATTATCTAGCGCTCTGTTCAATCACGTCTTGAAAACCTCTAGTGATGGAGACTCCACCACATCCCTGAGGAGATTGTTCTAGTGGTTAATTGTTCTCACCATGATTATTTTTTTCTTAGGTTAAGATGAAATCTCTTCCAGTGCAACTTGTACTTTTTGCCCCCTGTCTTCTCCCTGTGGCTCCTTGTGAAGCAAGAGCCCCTGTCTTTGTAGCCACCCTTTAAGGACCAGACTTTTATACTAAATGTACCCCAAGTACTTTGATTTTATACTAAATAAGTTTGCAACACTGAACGGGAAACTCAGTGTGTGGGTAACATTAATATTTGAATCACTATCAAAACTAGAACAACACTTTGTCTTGCCTAGTAAAACCAACTAATTGCCTATTTCTAAAAGCTTCAGGCTGGAGGTCTTTTTTTTTTTGTTTGTTTTTATCTTACTGCCATTGTCTTCAGCCCTTGTCTACAGCTTCACTGTGTTACACTGTGCTGTCATTGCCATGGAGATAAAGCTTGCAGAAAATCCTACTGACTCTATTAATATAAGGATTTTAATTTCCATAGATAAGGCATAAAACATAATACTAGTTCCACTCTGCATTTTGTATTAAGCTGATTAAAAAAAAAATAATAACTACTCCTTTTTAGCCATAGTTTATTTTCAAGATACTTTGTTATTAACAACTAGGAAAGGCCAATAGTTTTTCACATGGGGGATTACAACCAGGGTAAGTAAACAGAAGTTTGATCCTATTCTATAGCTAACACATTCTGGTGGTTTATACTTTGGGCTTGGCCCTTTTTGGCATGCATCAGAGGTTCTTTCTTCAAGTTATCACTAAACCCATCAAAAAGAAAGAATCACTAAAAAAAAGTTAAGGTTGTATTTTGAATCATTCAGAAATCAAGGAATGATGAAGTTAAAATGACGACTACAGATATGGTCTTATACCACAACTGATGCAAGTGGTCCAGTTATACTACAAAGTACCCTTTAACGGTGTACTATTATGCTTTTGGAAAAATAGTGTATTTTTGCATAGTTGTTTTGTTCTGGAGATTTTGTGTGCTGACATATGTGTCATCTGACAGCGGTTTTTCTGAGTTTTAAATTGACTCTCGGTGACAGCCTAAGTGATGTGCTGGCTTTGGCTGGGGTAGAGTTAATTTTCTTCACAGCAGCTTAGTGTGGTGCTGATACGGTTTGGATTTGTGCTGGAAATTGTTGATGACACAGGGATGTTTTTGTTACTGCTGAGCAGCAGTTACACACAGTCATGGCCATTTCTGCTCCTCCTCACCCCACCAGTGAGTAGGCTGGGGGTACACAAGGAGCTGGGAGGGGGCACAGCTGGGTCAGATGACCCCGACTGACCCTTGGGATATTCCATAACATGTGGCATCATGCTCAGCATATACAGCTGGGGAATGAAGAAGGAAGTGGGGGTGTGTGGTTTTGGAGTGATGGTGTTTGTCTTCCCAAGTAACAGCTAAGTGTGATGTAGCCCTGCTTTCCTGTAGATGGCTGAATACCTGCCTGCCCGTGGGCAGTGGTGAATGAATTCCTTGCTTTGCTTTTCTTGCATGCAGGGCTTTTGCTCTACCTGTTTACTGTCTTTATCTCGACACAGAAATTCTCTCACTTGTACTCTTCAGATTCTCTTCCCTATCCCACCAGGATAGAGTCAGCGAGCAGCTGCGAGGAGCTTAGTTCCTGGCTGGGGTTAAGTCACAACAGTGTATCAAGTTGAGCTTTTGTGCAATATATACTTCTCTTTGAAATATAGGTTTTAATTATAACAGACTTAGACTGAAGAGTGAAGCTCTTCCTTCAGGGGAAAGTGTGACAGCACTACAGTGAAAGCAAACCTGAGAAAGCATTCTTGCTGCCTACGCTTCCCCGCATCCTGTATTAGGTAAAGGGGGCAATAATTCATCTGTAGCCTCCATCTTTACACACTGGAGCAACGTTCTGATAAGCTGTGAGCAGGAAAGCAGTCATCCCTTATTCCAAAGTGCTTAAGTGTGACCTTAACTTTCAGCTTCTAATACCACGGCCCAAGTTCATAGTCAAACGTGTACTTCACGAATGAGCGGATTGTGTGAGATGAAGTAATCTGTGTGAAGATTACTGTGTGTAAGTGAGCTCTGAGTTCAAATGGATCATGAGGTTACTGAGTCAATCCCAGTATTTGCTATAGCACTTTTAGATGCTTCTTATTTAATAAGCATTTTACTTTTTCTTAGGGAAGAAGCATCTAACTAAAGAAGCATTAAATATTTCTGAACAGCTAAAAACATTTTGAGATTTTTTTTTAATAATAAGAAATCTGTAGTTTCTACTCTTGTTGCATAACAAATAGAAATACTCATGATCAAGCTTTAGAGAAGGGGAAAAATAGGAACAGAATAAACCAGATAAACCTAGGCTGAAAGCTGAGGTCTTTAATAGATGATTCATGGCTAACAGGCAGCCTGTGCAACCCCCTACCCCTGCTTCCCACAAGAAAGCTAATGACTGATGCTGAGTGCAGAGCCTGTGGTTGCCCAGAATAATTTTCCATAGGTCAGTGTAGCCTGGGGACCATGATTTCAAAAGCTGTACAATGCTGAAAATTTGAAATGCTATTTTCTGTGTACTCCAACTTTCTTAATAGTTGATTACTTTTAATGAAATGCTTTGCTAATTATTGAATTATAAATGTAAAAAAAATCTATAATTTTTGCATTTACATTGTTACAATTACTGTAGCACAATTAAAACTTTAACAATGTATACACATGTAGATATTATGTTTTAAATCCTGCAATTTTTCAGTGAAATGACTGTACTTTATAAATTTTATAATTTATATAATTATAATTTATATATTTTATAATTTTAATGTGTAAGGTAATTTACT